TGTTGCACCATTGTGTAGCTTAGCCTCCCCTGCTGCGTCAGGCGTAGGACTGCCTAGCTTGCCTAGTCTAGTCGCTGCACCGGCTCCGTCCCCGGCCTCCGCCACTGCGTCGCTGTCCTCCACTCTCGACTCCGGTGCTTCTGCCTGCTTCTTCCGCGACCGTTCCACGCTCACGCCGCTTGCTGCACCTGCTATTGTCTCTCTCGCTGACCCTTCTGCGGGTCCTGTTGTCGCGCGCAGTTCTACGTCCCTTCCCTGTCCAGCAGTTCCCTCGGGCTCCCTTACAGGCCTCCACGTTCCCTCGTTCTCGAGGAACCTGGTTGGTGTCGGCTGTCTCCAGGACCTCGGCGTCACCACCGGGCACGCGCGTTCCCCGGGCACGCGCGGTTCGCTGTCTGTTCTGAGGCTGTCCCAGGTTCCCCCCTTGCGACGTTCCCCTGGGACCCGGTGTCCGGTCTGTTTACCCTAGACACCGCTTCCCCCCTGGTTGGTGCGTCCTCCCAGGTCGCTGCAGCTTGCTCGTGTCGGTCCCTCACTCACCCGTCCCTTCTCTGGCACCACCGCTTAGGTCACCCTGCTCTCCCTCGTCTGCGTCACATGTCCCAGCACGGTCTTGTCTTAGGACTCCCCGCGTCGCTCCCTGCCCTTCCTCCCTCGACTGCACCACCGTGCACGCCTTGCGTCGAGGGTCGGCTCCGCCGTGCTCCTCACTCCTCCTCGCTGCGCCCTGCTACTGCCCCCCTTCAGACCCTGCACCTGGACATTTGGGGCCCTGCCCCCGTCCCCGGACCGCGCGGTGAGCGCTACTTCCTTGTGCTCGTCGACGACTACACGCGCTACACCACGGTGTTTCCCCTGGAGTGGAAGGCTGACGTGCCCGACGTTCTTCTCCCGTGGGTTGTGGCTGCGCGTCTCCACCGCGGTCTCCCTGTGTTGTGTCTCCACTCTGACCGTGGCGGCGAGTTCGCCTCTGGTCGGCTTGGACAGTTCTGTCGTGCGGAGGGCATCACCCAGTCGTACACCTTGCCGGACTCGCCACAGCAGAATGGGGTTGCTGAGCGCCGCATCGGCTTGGTCATGGAGGTTGCTCGTACCTCCATGATTCATGCCGATGCCCCCCATTTTCTGTGGCCGTTCGCTGTTTGCTACGCTGCTCACCAGCTTAACCTGTGGCCACGCTCCTTGCAGCCGCAGGTTTCGCCGACCCTTCTTTGGACTGGGTCCCCCGGTGACGCGTCTGTGTTCCATGTCTGGGGCTGCCTTGCTCACGTTCGTGCCTCTGGCACGGACAAGCTCACTGCCCGCACTGTCCCCTGTGTCTTCCTCGGTTTTCCCCTGGACTCGTCTGACTGGCTTTTCTACCACCCGCCGTCTCACTGCTTCCTCCACTCTCGTGACGTCACCTTTGACGAGTCTGTCTCTTTCTACCGTTGCTTCCCTCACTAAGGACTCCCGGTTGCCCCGCCCCTGTTCCTGGCTCCCTCTCCCTTGGTAGCCCCTGCTCCTCTCCCGCCTCGTCCTGCCCCGTCTGGTATCTCTCACGTCACTCCCTCCCCGTCGGTTGTCCCTGTTGAGGAGTCTGCTGACTCTGGTAGTCCCAACGGCCCGTCCCTGCCGCGTCCCCGTTCCCCGGTGTCTCCGCCTTCCCTGCCGCAGTCGCCGTCGCCGCCGCCGCCTCCGCCGCCGCCGTCGCAGTCGCAGTCACCGCCACCGCCGCAGCCGCCGTCGCCGCCGCCGCCGCTGCCGCCGTTGGCCTCTGGGGGTGCTGGCCTTGAGGAGGGTGTTCGTGTTGCGGCTACCGGGGGTGCCGCTGAAGTTGGAGGGGGTTCTTGCTCTGGGGGTGTTGGTTCTGGGGGTGCTGCTGTTGAGGGTTCCGCCGACGGTCGTCCTGCCTCTGCCGGTCCGAGGGTTCCGGCCCAGCTCTCGCAGCAGCCGTCGCAGCCGTCGCCGCCGGTCTCCGCTCTCCGCCTGCTCGGCCTTCCCTCCCCGGACCGCGCGCCAGTGTCTCCCCCACCGCTTGCTGACCTTCCTGTCTACGGTCCTGTGTTCCCACCCCCGGACTCGTCTCCGGCCCGTCTTCCTCCTCGTTCCCCTTTTGTGTCCCCTCCGCTGTCTCCTGACCCTACACCTCCGTCCCACGTTTGGTCTCACCGTCCCTCACGTGCTCGTCCCGTCTCTCCTGTCCTGCGCTCCCACCCTATGTTGCTCCGTTCCTACTCGTCTCGTCCTCCCCTCCTCCCATCCCCTCCTCCCTCGTCCCTTGCTATTGCACCTCCTCCGTTCGCTGACTACCTCCGTGCTGCTCGTCCCCTTGTCCCTCGGGTCCTTGCCTCTCTTGTTACCGACCCTGCTGTTCCTGTCTCGCGCCTTGACGCGCTTGTCGTTGCTGTCGCTGACTTCGCCTCTACCCGCCACCTTGACTACGCTACCGCTCTGGTCTCTGACCCTGCCCGTCCTCCGTCCGTCGGGGGTGCTCCTGCCCTTGGCAGTGACGTCCTAGAGGACAGGCAGTACGAGCTGGCTTTCCTTTCCGAGGCGGCTCCCCATCTTTTCTCCATGCTGTTAGTCCCTGAGGGTGACCCAGACGCCTTCAACATCCCGACCCCTCGCACCTACGCTGAGGCCACCTCGGGACCTTGGGCCTCTCAGTGGATAGCTGTCATGGAGCAGGAGATGGCATCTTGGAGGTCCACCGGCACTTACGTCGACGCAGTTCCCCTGTCTGGGGTGAACGTAGTCGATGGTCGGTGGCTCTTCAAGGTGAAGCGCCCCCCTGGAGAGCCGCCTGTCTTCAAGGCGCGCTACGTGGCCAGAGGTTTCAGTGAGCGAGAGGGGGTTGACTTCTTCCAGACCTTCGCCCCGACCTCGAAGATGACCACTCTTCGGGCGCTGCTACACGTAGCAGCACAGCGCGACTACGAGCTTCACTCCCTCGACTTCTCTACTGCCTTTCTTCAGGGCAGCCTACACGAGCAGGTCTACCTGCGCCGACCACAGGGCTTCACTGGTACCTTCCCCCCTGGGACCCAGTGGCTTCTCAGGCGCCCGGTTTACGGCCTGCGTCAGGCTCCTCGCGAGTGGCACAACACGCTGCGGGCCACGTTAGCAGACCTGCAGTTCTTTCCGTCCTCTGCTGACCCCTCGCTGTTTGTGCGTTCCGGCCAGACTCCGTTCTATATCCTTGTCCACGTAGACAATCTAGTCTTCGCTACTGCTGACAGGGACGCACTAGCCTCTGTGAAGGCCGAGCTACTGAAGAGACACACCTGCACTGACCTTGGAGAGCTGCGTCGCTATCTTGGCCTGCAGATCTCTAGGGACAGAGCAGCACGCACCATCACTTTGACACAGTCACACTTGGTGCGCCAGGTCCTTCAGAGGTTCGGTCTTCAGTTCTCCTCCGCACAGCCCACACCTCTACCTGTAGACCATGGGCTCTCCGCTCCTGTTCCTGAGGAGCCAGTAGAGCCCAGTGGCCCCTACGCAGAGCTGGTGGGTTGCCTCATGTACCTGATGACTTGCACTCGCCCAGATCTCACATACCCTCTCAGCATCCTGGCTCGCTTTGTGGCTACAGGCAGACACCGACCTCAGCACTGGTCTGCCGCTAAGAGGGTTTTGCGTTATCTTGCTAGTACATCGGGCATGGGGTTAGTGCTAGGAGGACGCAGGCCAGTGGTCCTTACTGGGCACACAGACGCTTCTTGGGCAGACGACCCTGAGACGCTCAGGTCGTCGCAGGGCTACTGTTTTAGCCTTGGTTCGGGTGCTATCTCTTGGAGATCCACTCGCTCGTCGTCTGTGGCTCAGTCTAGCTGTGAGGCTGAGATCTACGCTGGTGCCATGGCGGCACTGGAGCTCCGCTGGCTGACCTTCTTGCTCACAGACTTAGGTGAGCGGCCTAGCTCTGCCCCGGTCCTGTACGCTGACAACAGGGCCATGATACTCCTGTGTCAGGAGCCTCGGCTTGAGGGCAGAGCGAAGCATATCCAGCTGCGGTACTTCCTCCTGCGCGAGCTACAGCAGCGTCGCCAGGCCCGCGTAGTTCACTTGGCCTTAGGTGCCAACACAGCTGATATCTTTACTAAGGCGCTTGCGCCTAAAGATCATCAGCGGCACTGTGTACAGCTTGGTCCTGATTGTGACACAAGGCCACAAGGCCACAACTCACCTGTTAGGATCCTGATTGTGTACTCTCTAGTATATATGCCTGTCAGACTGGCCTTGTGGCCTTACCTCCAGTGGCTGGACTAGTAGTGCTGCCCTGGCTTGCTTTAGTTTTGTTTGTATTCTTGTTGACTGGTCTCCAGACCCCTGCCTCAGTGGTTGGACTAGTAGTGCCACCCTGAGCTGTTTGCTTCTTGCTTAGCTTCACCCCTTGTCTAGCCTAGGGGGTGTGTCAACTTATACATATTAGCTATGTAGAAGTTATAGGCTAGACTGAGGTATGCTTCTAGTGAGTACAACCAACTAGTATTTGTTCTAGGCTTCCTCTTCTAGTCGATCATTCAGTTCTCACTTTAACACCTGTGACAAATAATGGCATGTATTCGAATAGGGTGTTCTCAGTAGTTGACCCTGTATATTCAGCGCAAATGTTTTACAACCAGGGCTCCTGCTAGTTTTTAGGGCAGTCTGAAAATCAGACGGGTACTTAGAGCTTCGTCTGACCGTCAAACGGATTTTTTTTGCATGTCGTACGATTCAGACGAAATGCACGCACGTGTCTGAGAATTCAGACTGTTTATGTGCGCTGGACTGTTTTGCTGCTGCGCTCGGGGTAGAATTGAATGCGCGTGCTGCGGTGCACATGGGACCAGGTGGCAGGCAGTGGCCCAGTGGGCACTCGGACTAGTAGTGGCCCTGCTGCTAGAAGGGTGGGTTTGTCGGTATCAGACGGAAAAAAACGGCCGGTCTGATAAATCAGATGAATGTGTACACCTGGTCTGATGTTTCAGACGAATTCTTATAACTTGTCTGAACAATCAGACGAATATATTTGGCTCGTCAAAAAATCAGATGAAACATAAAAACCCGGTCTGATTTTCAGACCATCAGACCGATTTGGTCTGATAACGGGAGCCCTGTTTACGACATCCAGATTGATCAGCGTTTTTTTTTTTTTGCGAGGCCTGAAAAAACAGGGAGCTAAGGGGGGGGGGAGCCTGAGCAATCAGCGTGCCCCAAAACGAATCTGAGGCCCTGGTGCGGAAGCTTGAAAATATATATAGATAGATTCAACCATCAGAGCCTCAGCACACGCACTTCCAGGGTTGTTCCAACTCCTGCAATTCAAACTCCAGAACAGAAGCAGCACTCAATTCTTCACAAGATACAACCCCCATTCGGAGTTGGAAGGACGAGGGGCTCTGACCCAGCATGGAGGCACTGGCGAGCTTGTGTCGTGTGTGCCTGGGAGGTGGGAGGTGGTGAGGTGAGCATCATGTGTAGCCACGGAGTGAGTGGCGCTAGCAGATGCAACACCTGCATTAGCAGCAGCAGGGGGAGCAGCACTCGCAAAGAAAGCACCTTGGATGGAGGAGGTGAGTGCTCTGAGCGGAGGGATGTGCGGGCACTGAGGGGTTTGAGCAGCGGGAGGGGCTCGAGGGACTGGTGAGACTTGAGGGCGCTGGAGTTGAGGGCTTGGCAGGTGGGCCGGTGATGGCAGGAGGAAGGCGTCCCACTGGCGCCTCACTGCTACCAGCTCATACAGGGGGAGGCGGGGGCCGGCAGCAGACGCATATGTCAGCCGCGAATGGAGGAGTTGGAGATGTGTGCTGTGTGGTGGTCCCACACCCTCCTTGCCCTGCCGTTCCTCGCTGCCATTCACGCCCTCACCGCCCTTGCCCTGCCGCTCCTTGCCCTCACTGCCCTTGCCCTGCCGCTCCTTGCCCTCACCGCCCTTGCCCTGCCGCTCCTTGCCCTCACCGCCCTTGCCCTGCCGCTCCTTGCCCTCACCGCCCTTGCCCTGCTGCTCCTTTCCTGCCACTGCCACGTCCATCCACCCCACATCCCCCCTCCCGTCCTCCGCTCCCTGCCCCACCACTGTTCCACACCCACCGCCCCTCCTCTCCTCCCCCACCCCTTCCCTCTTATCCTCTAAGTCCACCCCTCTCCCCCTCTCCTCCTCCTCCGCCGCCCCCCCCCCATCGTCCTCCTTTGCCCCTCCCCCCCTGTCGTCCTCCCATGCTCCTCCCCGCCTGTCCTCCTCCTCCACCGCCGCCCTCACAGCCTGCATGAACCCATCATCCTCGCCTGCCAGTGCCAGTCCTGGTGGGGAGGGCCAGCAGAGGGGAAAACGAGCAGAGGGAACAACAGTGGGGCAGGGAAAGGCAGTGGGAAGGGCAGTAGGGCAGTGGGAAGGAAGGGCAGTAGGGCGGTGGGAAGGAAGGGCAATGGGAAGGGCAGTGGAAGAAGGCATGGAAGGGAGGAAGAATCACAGAGAGAGAAAGAGAACAACAAGGGCAGTGGAACACCCCTCCCCCCCACTCCCCAGGTGATTTTTGAATCGACTCAAAAATCACCATGGAAGGGAGGAAGAAGCACAGAGAGAGAAAGAGAACAACAAGGGCAGTGGAACACCCCTCCCCCCCACTCCCCCCCATTTCTCCCCTTGCCCTCTCCCCACGTCTTTCCCCACCCTCTCTCCGCGCACACTCCACTCTCAGGCGCCTCAGCTCCCTCGGCCTTCTCCCTCCTCTCCGCCCTCAAACCCCCTCCCCTCACCTTGTCTCCGCGCTTTCACCACTCGCAGGCGCCTGAGCTCCCTCAGGCGCTCCAGCAGCAGGAGGGCGTCCACCTGCCCGCGGCACGACGGAACGTGGGGAGGGTGCAGAGAGCAGGAGATGATCAACATTCCGCCACCACGCTCGACTTGGCAAGTCGTAGTGAATGCCTACCGCGTGCACGCGGCATGTAAGTAGGAGAGCAGGGGAGGGCGGAAGCAGGGAAGTTAGTGGGGAAGGAGGGCTGGGCTGGCTAGGGCTGGGAAGCCGGGAAGTGTGTGGGGCAACTTTCATCACCTTGCTGAAACACGACACGTGCAACACATGTGTGCCCATGTGCAGCGCATGCCAGCATGTGCAGTGCACGACATATCACCTATAATCTCACATCTGCACCGCCAATGGCACAGACACACCACCCATCCCCACCACACACACACCAATGCCCTTCATTCTGGCACCATTTACCTCCACTCCACCACACAACACCCATCACCTATCTCCACTCACAGAACCCATCTCCACCGCATATCACCTGCTTCTGCAGCTGAGCCCTCTCCCTCTTCTCCCTGGCCTCTTCCTCCCGCTGCTGCTGGCGAGCCTGCCGGGGGAGACGCAAGGCGAGGAGCAGCAGCGTTGAGAGACGATGCCGAGGTACAAGCAGGGAGAACGCTGCTGCTGCGTGCAGTAAGAACTATTGAGGCTCCTGTGAAAGAGCTGATGTGTGGGAGAGTTGCACGTGGTGCTGGAAGGTGGAGTGCGGAACAGTGGATGAAATTGGAGATATTTCAGAATGCATGCAAGCAGAGGAAACATTCTGTGGTGTGTGATGCACATCTGCACGAATGGCACATACCTCTCACTCTCCCGAGCACGCCCCGCTCTCCCAAGCCCACCCCTCTCTCCCAAGCACACCCCGCTCACCTGCGTCTCCCGTGCGTCCCTGGCCATCACCCTCCCCCGCCATGCGTCTATCCTCGCCTCCACCGCACTCCGCTGCTCCTCGCACTGCCCACGCATGCGGCATGGAGGAGAGGGCAAAGGGGAGAGGGCGAGGAAGAGCGCAAGGGACGTTGAGGGAGGGGGGAGAGAGAGGGCGGGGCAGGAGGAGTGGGAGTGAGAGTAAAAGAAAGAGGGAGCGAGGTGTATGGAGAGGTCAACAAAAGCCCAATGCATAACCAACGCAAGCCTCCTTACATTGTTGGTGAAACGTAGGCACGGTTGAATGAAGCCACCCAGCATGACACACACCTGCTTGCACGCCGCTGCCTGCTGCGCTCTCCTCCTCCCCCTCCACCTCTTCTTCCTCACCGCCCTCCCCCTCGCCCGCACCACTCGCAGCATCTCCACTCGCTCCACCCATCCCCACCCTCTCATCCCCTCATACCCCTCTCCTGCCTCCTCCCTGTCTCCCTCCTCCCCTCCACCTCTCCCCCTCTCCGCACGACCACCACTTGCCTCTCTTTCTTCCCCGCGCCCCCCTCCCTCATCCTGTCTGCCCTCCCCCAGCATCTCCTGCAGGCGTGCCAGCGGCTGCATCAGCTGCACCAACTCCTCGCCCAACCGCTCGCCTGCTGCCGCCCACACTGCCTCCGCTTCTAATGCCGCTCTTGCTGCTGCCTCTGCTGCCGTTTTGGCTGCTGGCCGTGCTGTCACTTGCGCTGCTGGGGGCAGTGCAGCAGAGCGCAGCATGGCGTGTGGTGGTGCTGGTGCGCGCACGGGCAGCTGAGGGACCGCTGCTTGGGGCAGTGCATGAGGCGCTGCCTGCTGTGCCGCACAGGGTGCAGCCGCATGGGGTGCAGCCGGCAGGTGGTGCCGCTCGTGGAGGCTGGTGATGGAGGGATGGATGGAGGGGGGAGGGAGGGGAGGGGAGGGGTTGGGGGATAAGGAGGCGGAGTGTGATGAGAGGAGAAAGCACGGCAGTGAAGCATGGGCGAGTGAGGGCGAGAAAGGGAGGGAGCAGGCAAGTGGAAGCGAGTGCGCGAGTGGCTGCCAGGACGGGTGGGGGGCAAGTGACACGGCGAGGGGCACGAGGCGAGTGAGTGGGACGATGGGAGAGACGTGTCGGAGAACCATCGGCTCTGCTTGACCTTCGCATTCACACCCTGGTCCCACGCCACTCTCTCCCTAGCAGCTCCCTCCATGCTCCGCCTCTGTCCCGTATGCTTCCGTGAGTTGCCCACTCAAACAAACAATCCAGCTGAGCTCACCTAGGCTAAGGCTACTGCTATGTACATGTGAATCCCAGCCTAGCCAAGAGAGCCAGCGAGCAGGTCGCCCTTCAGATTCCCAACCACCCTGCTCTACAAGCACACTATTTACATACAAGCCACGCATGCATGCCCATTCCTGTACAAGCACAGTTCCACGCAAGTATGCGCCGCGCTCCATCAGCTTGCCCTCATGGTGCCCCTGCCACGTCCCCTCGCCCCACCTCGCCCTGCCTCTGCTCCGGAAACGGGCGGCGGGCGCACGCAGCGTTTTTCAGGGCCTCAGAAGGAGGGGAAGGAGGGGGAGCGCCCGGCTTTGGCCATGGCAAGGGGCGTACACGGCTTGAAGGAGCTGCGCGTGGCGCCACATCCCCTTCACTCGCCGCCGTACCTCCTCCCCGCTCCAGTCGCCCTCGCCGCCGCGCTCCCCGCCACCGGGCCACCCATCTCCGCTGCTCGCGTAACCCGCTCCCCTTCCCCCTCCCATTGCCGTTCCGCGCCTCTCATTCCCCGAACCCCCGCTCCTTGCCCCCATTGCTCCGCCGTCCCCTCCGCGTTCAACCCCGCGCATCATACTCTCCAGCAGCGCAATTGCTTCTTTCTAAGCGCACTAGCGCGCTGCAACGAGCGCGTTGCCTGCCCACGCGCAAGCCGGACTACGCGCGACGCGTCGCTGCGGGGATTGCAGACGAGCGCCGCGGCGAGCGCCACTTGAACTAAGTCCCCGCAATCCTTGCGCCGACGGTGCGCCACTGGTGTTGGAGTGGTTCCGCCACCCACAACGGACTACTCGTGACTTGGGGTGACGAGGAGAGAAATGCGGACTTGGGACGAGAAGGAACTAGGAAACGGGTATTGCGTGAGCGTGAGGTGTACTGAAAGGAGAGAAGCAAGAGAGAAGGTTGGAGGAAAGAGTGATTGAGTGGAAGAAAGGAATGGAAGTGGCGAGAAACAGATTGGCTGCGTTCTACAGGCACGAAAGGAAAGTGCAGATTACATCAGAGCACCTTCCGAAAGCGAGATTTTTTGCTTCGGATCGAGGGTCAGCCCGCAAAATTTCGCCCAAACCTGGCACAAGGTACCCGAACCTAGTCACATCAACATGCCTGCAGAACAGATCCCCTACAGATGACATCTACGTCAGGGAAACACCCCCCCCGCTTCCCTCCCTGGCAAATCTGACGCAAACTTGACGCAATGCTGACGTTCGATCAATCGCGGAGTTCACCTTGCGTGTGGCGTTACATCAGCCGCTAGGGTGTACTAGGCCTCCACACCCCAAAAAAACCAGTGCCACCATTTTACCCCACCTCTCGAACTTGGGCCTGCCCTGCAAAACAATCGCTCTGAGGATCAATGGACTTCGGTGCTCTTGAGAGGTAGTGGGGTTGTAAGGGCATCTGACCAAACCTTGGGTTATTTTATCGTCATTTTGCCCCATAAAAATATTTCTCTGCTGCCCTGGGGCAGCAGATTTTTGTTGCGCATTTTTTAAATTCGCCGCTCTCCCCTTTCGCTTGCGCTTTCCACAATTTGGCCGCGTGGCTTCCAAGCGAGGTTTGGAAAGTGCATCTGGTTTGTGTGGTAACCAGTGCTCTCGAAGTCGCTTGCGGAGCTTCCTCAATGTCGACGTCGACGTCAACGTCAAATGCTTGTAGAACCCAGCCATTGACGTGGGGCAAAAGTTGGGTTCGGACGGGGCGTGTTCAGCGGCGTATTTAGCAAGAAAGATGCGGTTGCGTGTGCGACTTGGCTTGACACGAGGCGCGCGAGTTACTCGCAGCGCACACGGCAGTTACGAAGCGCGAAATCGCTTGTACTTCTACTATAAATCTGTTTGAACATTTGCGCTTTGTATCTCATTGTTTTTAGTGGAAATTGCTGTCATTTCGTATTGACGATTCGCAGCTACTTTGAGATAACGTTTGGAGGCAAGGCCCTTGAGGCTATTTGCACCAGTATTTCCAAATACTTTTCGCTGCGCTAGAGGCGATAGTCGTCTAGAACTGGTATCAGAGCTAGCGTCGAATTGCTGGCGATTTTTCTGCGTGGAATCTATTTAGTGCGCCAAGTGGAGCCGGGTGTAAGGGCGTTGTAGCATTCAAAAGAGTAGGACAAAGCCTCCAGAATGACAGGCGATATTGGAGAGGCTAGTTCGGGCTCCTCTGTAAGCATTGGAGACCCCCAGGTTAAGGCTCTTTTAGAATTGCTAGCGCATGGATCGTTGGTAGCGCAACCAACGATAGGGCTCAGTGAAGCCCAGCGTTTTAATGGCAGCAATTATAGTACGTGGCGCTTAAAGTTCATAAGGAGAGCGAAGGAGGTAGGATTATGGCAATTTTACTGTCAAAGTGAGAAGGCCGAAGGAGCAGCAACCACAAGCAACCAAGAGGAGGATTCGGCATGTCAAAAAAGGAGTGAGCAAGCATTCTTTCAGTTGTGCCATTCTGTTTCTGATGGAATTGCTGTGGGCCTGGATAAGTTTTCAGGTGAGAAAAATCCGGCTCAAGAGGCGTGGGCATACATGGAGTTAGCCTACCTCGGCCAAATGGAGATGAACATCGCTGCAGTGAGGAGGAAGCTGCTGCTGCTGAGCATGGAGCCAAAGGAAGCCGTCATCGAGTACATCAATCGAGCCAAGAGCTACAACGACGATTTGGCCGCAATGGGAGCTGAGGAGAACGAAAAGGCGATGATGGGATACATTGTCAACGGGCTCTCGAAGGAGTGGGCAACAGATCGACCTGCGTTGATTTGCAATCCACCTGCAAAAACAGAACGAAACTTCTGGAGATGCTGCAAGCCTTGGCGATATCCAAGGAGGATGTGACACGATGGGAGAAAGCGGCCCAAGGAGAGAATGGGGCTGCGGGTGTGGAGCAGGAGAAGCCTGCAATGGTGAATGCGGTAGCTGCAAGGAGAGGCATGGGTGCATGCTTCCACTGCGGCAAGATGGGGCATAAGGCATTTGACTGCTATGATAACCCGAGGAGCCGTAACTACAAGGGGAAAGGTGCTGCTGGTACGGGATGGAGTGGAGTGCAGCAGAGTGGGGAAGGGGGTAGTAGAGGAGATAGAGGAGATAGTAGGCAGCAGAGGGGAAAGTTCTTTGCAGCTTGCCACCACTATAAGAAGATAGGGCATAGAGCGATCGATTGCTACTCGAACCCCAACAGTCGGAGTTATAGGGGAACACAGCAGCAAGGTTCGGTACCGGCAAAAGCACATACAGCTGAAGCAGAAAAGGGGGAAGCCGATGTTATTTTGGGTGGTGCACATAAGGCGAATGTTGCGCGTGCATCAGGAGTGTGCCTGATGGCAAAAGGGGGTGGAAAAGTTGCATGGTATATGGACAGTGGGTGCACTCAGCACATGACCAATCACAATGAGTGGCTGAATGATTTGAGGGCATCAAGTGTGCCGTATGTGCGTGTGGGAGATGACCGGAAATTGCTTGTGAAGGGAGAGGGAGATTTGATTTTGCAAGGGCAATATGGGGAGTTGAAACTGGAGAATGTGCTGCTGGTTGATGGTCTGTCATTGAACTTGATCAGTCAGTCACAGCTGGACAACACTGGATGCAAGACATTCAGTACAAGGGCATCGTGTGGATGTTTGACCATGCATGGAATGTGGTTGCTAAGGGCATGCTGAAGAATGGGTTGTATGAAATGCTGTTGAATGAGAAGGGCATGACAGCTGAGAAGGTTACCTACCAGCAGCCGACGGAGGAAGGGGTGCTGGCAAGGGAGGAGCTGCGGGCGAGCTTGAAAAGTGTACCTGTAGAGGAGCTGCGGAAGGAAGCGGTATCGATGGTGGCAGCAGCGGCTAAGGTAGACATGGAGACCCTGCATAGGAGGTTGGGACGTGTGTGGATGGAGCAGATGGGGAAGGGAGCAAGGGGAAGTGTGACAAGTGCGTGGAGGGCAAAATCGCCAAATCCCCCCACCCCAAGCATCAGGTACAAAAGCCATATGGAGTGCTGGAGATAGTAGCAGCCGATGTGTGTGGGCCACTGAGGGTGGCATCTAGCACGGGAGCAAATACTTCGTCACCTTTACAGACCTAGGGACTAGGCACACGTGGGTGATTGAGATTAAGGATAAGACTGAGGTCTTCTCTAGTTTTCTGGACTGGATGGTGGAAGCAGAAAGGCAGAGTGGGAAGCAGCTGAAGGTGCTGAGAACTGACAATGGTGGGGAGTTTGTCAATGAGGAGTTCAACAGCTACCTGCGTTCCAGGGGGATTTTAAGGCAGTTGAGAGTGCCTTACACTCCACAACACAACAGCATAGCGGAGAGGGTGAATAGGTCACTGCTTGACTGTGTAAGGATATTGCTGGCGGATAGCGGATTACCACTGAAGTTCTGGGGAGATGCCTTGGGGATGGCTTGTTGGGTCAAGAATAGGCTACCTACGAAGGGCTCGGCAGTAGATATGACCCCACATGAAGCATTCTATGGGAGGAAGCCAAATATGGGGTTGGCTCATGTGTGGGGCTGCATGGTGTAGTACAGGGAGCCAGCTGGACCAACCCATAAGCTACTACCTAGTAGTAAGTGAGGGCTGAACCTTGGGATGTGCATGGTGAATAAGGGATGGGTGATAAAGGGTGTGGAGACGGGGAAGGTGGTGGTGACGAGAGATGTGATATTCTATGAGAATGTCACCTACTTGAAGTGGAAAGGGGTGAGTTCGGAGATTGCAACGGCAGGGGAAGCAGCTAACCTAGAGAAGGTGGAAGGGCTGCTGGAGGAGACATCGATTGAAGGGATTGGAGATGAAGTAGAGGAGATTGGAGAAGAAGCAGCACATACTTGGGTGTGGGAGCTTCCAGAGAAAATGGCTGCACAGGGGAGAAATGAGATGGAGCAGCAGGAGATAGAGCCAGAGGAGAAGGATGCTACAACTGAGGTGCAGATGGCACCAAGGGAGAGTGAGCAGGGATCAACGGCACGAGATGATCACGATCCATGGAAGCTGCTAGATAGTGCAGACAGCTGTGAAGCAGAGAAGGAGATTGAGGAACTACTGGAGGATGGGACAACAGCGATAGGGGTACTAGGATAGGACGAGCAAGAGGCAGCTAAGAAGGAGGGTAGTGAGGTGGTGTCACCTGCTGAGGAGTTGGGGCGAGGGAAAAGGGTGAAGAAGTGAAACCCTAAGTACGTTCACTTGCTCATGGAAGAACGTGCATACCCATCTTCTCCTAACCATATCAGCAACTGCACTAGTATCACAGGCAAGACAGGAGGCATATGGGTTGCCTCATGAACCAGTGACAGTGGAGGAGGCATTGACAGGACCACAAAAGGAGCAGTGGAGAGCTGCAATTCAGGAGGAGCTGGATACACTAGTAGAGAGGGACACTTGGGAGCTAGTGCCTATGCCAGACGGAAGGAATGCGGTCAGGGTGAAATGGGTCTTCAAGATTAAGACAGGAGACATGGGGCAGCTGGAGCGGTTTAAGGCTAGGTTAGTGGCGAAGGGCTACACACAAATAGAGGGGATCGACTACACCGATACTTATGCTCCTGTAAGCAAGCTGACGACTGCAAGGGCATTTTTCAAGGTCATAGCAGCAAGGAACTACTTTCTAGTGCAGCTGGACATCAAGAACGCTTTTCTGCATGGGGTAGTTGAGGAGGAGCTGTATATGGAGCAGCCACCAGGGTTTGAGGATGGCACTAATAGGAAGTGCAAGCTTATTAAAGCACTATACGGTCTGAAGCAGAGTCCCAGGGAGTGGTACAAGGCGATGGATGAGAGGCTGCTAAAAGGGGGGTTTCAGAAGAGTGAGTGTGACAGGGCGTTTTACTGCAGGGGAGTTGGAAAGGAGAAGGTGTGCCTACTGCTCTACGTGGATGATATCCTAGTGGCAGGGGCATTTCCAGGGGAGGTAGGAAAGGTGTGTGACCACCTCGCTGAAGTGTTCCAGGTGAAGCAGATTCCGAGGACGACGCTGTTTCTGGGGATGAATCTGGAAAGGAACAGGGAAGAGAGGAAGCTGTTCTTATATCAGCAAAATTACTGCAAGAGGGTGGAGCAGAAGTTTGGTCATGGCTATGCGAAAGCCATTACTACACCGCTGAGTGGAATGGCAGAAAGTGATCATGAGAGTGAAGAGGGTGTGCTGAAGTGGGGTGGTCAGGAGCGGGCGCTGCAGATGTACCAGTCTATGGTGGGACAGGTTATGTACCCAGTCTCATGCACCAAGATTGACATGGCCTATGCAGCAAGCTACTTGGGCAGCACGCGCAGCAGGGGAGGAAATGGAGGGAGGTGAGGCGGACATTAGATTACTTGCTGCAGCATCAGGATGAGGGTTTACTATTTGAAGGAGGAGAGGAGACATTGGAACTGGTGGGGTATGCTGATGCCTCACATGCATCATGCAAGGAAACCAGGAGAGGGGCATATGGATATGTGTTCCTACTCAGAGAGATAGCTATTACGTGGCAAGCTAAGAAGCTGGCAGATATAGCACTCTCAAGTGCTGAAGCAGAGTACATGGCATTGTTCTCTACATGCCAAGAGGGAGTGTGGTTGAGGAGGTTGCTGAAGGAGTTGGAGATACACGTGAAGGGGCCTACAGTGGTAAGGGCGGATAGCAAGTCAGCTATGGACTTGGCAAAGAACGACAACTGGCATGGGAAGACTAAGCACATGGATGTGAGATATTACTGGGTGAGGGAGCAGTTAGAGAAGCAGCAGTTCAAGTTCGAGTTTGTGCGCACTGAGGAGCAGGCAGCTGATTTCTTGACCAAGGTGCTGCCAAGGGCCAACTTTGAGAACTGTAAGGAGAAGGTCGGGATACGTACCTTGAAGGACATGCAGAGGATTGTGAAGGTGACTTAGAGGGTGTGGTTGGCAGAACCACAGGGGAGGTTGTTGGAGTGGTTCCGCCACCCACAACGGACTACTCGCGACTTGGGGTGACGAGGAGAGAAATGCGGACTTGGGACGAGAAGGAACTAGGAAGCGGGTATTGCGTGAGCGTGAGGTGTACTGAAAGGAGAGAAGCAAGAGAGAAGGTTGGAGGAAAGAGTGATTGAGTAGAAGAAAGGAATGGAAGTGGCGAGAAACAGATTGGCGTGGGGCAAAAGTTGGGTTTCGGACGGGGCATGTTCAACAAGCATTCGGACTTCGGACCAGCGGCGTGTTCAGCAAGAAAGTCGTGATTGCGTGTGCGACCCGGCTTGACACGAGGCGCGCGAGTTACTCGCAGTGCACACGGCAGTTACGAAACGCAAAATCACTTGTACTTCCACTATAAAACCGTTTGAACATTTGTGCTTTGTATGTCATTGTTTCTAGTGGAAATTGCTGTCATTTCGTATTGACGATTCGCAGCTACTTTGAGATCACGTTTGGAGGCAAGGCCCTTGAGGCTATTTGCACCAGTATTTCCAAATACTTTTCTCTGTGCCGGAGGCAATAGTCGCCTAGAACGGGTACCCCATCCTTTCCTCCTGCGGCTAGCCTCTACCGCGCGGTGACACCAAACGGTCGGAGGTTCCGAGGCGATTAAGCCTCGGTGGGCAAGGACGGAATAGGGGTGGGCGAAGGAAGTGGAGGAAGCGGCGGAGCAACGGGGGTGCAATGTTGTCCGTGGATCGGCAGCGGCGAGGAGCGATGAATGACTCGGCGATGCTCGCACGCCTTCTTGCTTTTCTAGGGTTTGCACGACCTCCACACGGGACACTCGGCATTGCGCTTCTAGGGTTCCATCTTGTCGAGAGACTTCGCTCACGGTGCCACCACCCTCGCCACCCTACTTATCCACCCGACATGGAAATGCTCTCACTTTTGCCCTAATCTGCGCCCTAGTTCTGCCGTCAGCGCTCTTAGTCGACAAGCGCCTCCGGCAAGGTTACTTATCGATCTCCTTGATCTCACGATTCCAACGGTATGCTTAGAGTGTGAGAGTACGACCCCGTTACACCACTTGACCTTTCCCTATTTCCTTTCTATTTCATTTTTCTTTTTATCCCATCTCAGTTGGTTTCCTATTCTTCCTTTTCCATTATCCTTTGATTTATCATGTTATTATATTTTTATCACCGACCAGGCTCGGGATGTAGTGGCGCGCTATATCTAGCGTAATCATGCCGTAATCCCATAAAGCCAATAGCCTCGCGTGGCTATACGTAAGGTGATTCTATTTCTAGAAGGGTCTATTCCCTTTGGATAGGATAAACCTGGTTACCTGATGTAGTATGGAAGTATAAAAGCGCCTTGTATCAATCGATAGTGCAAATTTTCCTCGACACATTCGATCCTGTAACACTTGGTAATCAGAGCTTTTTGCACTCGGCCGCGCTCAACAAAGCAGCAGCTGCGGGAAAATCTGCCTTGAAAAACCGCTAGGGGCGACAAATTCGGCGCCGATTCTGATATGCACTAGCTCCGCGCTTTGTGACCACCGTGCGTGTTTTGAACAGGATGGCAACCTTCAACAACGCCGAGGTTACCCAGCAGCTCTTCGCGAGAATCGTTGCCCTTCAGGAGGAGATGCGAGCGGATCGCGAAGCTTGGCGAAATGAGTTCGAGCGAGTAAAATCGACTCGCCGGCACGCAACACGATTCGACAACGGCGACGACGCAGCAGTCGCAACAGTTTCTCGAGGCTCCGAAACCCCGCCCACCTGAGCCGTTCGATCCGAGCGATCGAAACTCCAACGCCCGCAGATGGATCGCCGCGATGGAGATCTACTTTGCAGCCGTCGGATGGAGCTCGCCAGCCTGGGACGGTCAACACCTACGACTTAAGGCGACACTGATACGAGGGCAAGCACTCGACTGGATCGGCGGTAATAGCACCTTCATCCACGGCGAAGCCACGTGGCAACAGTTCCGTGCCGACCTGCTGAAACGCTTCGAACCGATAAATTCGGGTTTCCTCGCCCGGGAAAAAATTCATCGCCATCGACAGTTTGGGAGTGTAGCGCAGTACACGTAACAGATGGAGGAATTTTATAACCGCATTCCCGACCTGACCGAACGGGAAAAAGTACAGTCATACCTCGCTGGGCTGAAGACCGAAGTCAAACGACATGTAGCAGCGACGAATTACGCGAGCTACAGTGACTTCGTTTCGGCAGCGGAGCGATTCGACATGGTCAACTCCAGGACACGACGGGAGCGCATCGTCATTACAAGACAGGGCGACCGCTCGGCTCACACCACACTCGCTGACCCGATGGAAATTGACAGGTTCGACGGGTGGTCACGTCCGAAAAACACCAACTACACGTATGATTTTTGCGGGGTGCCGGGCCATCGAATCTTTGACTGCAACAAAATGAAAGCTGCACGAGCAGAGTATCGGGCACGCAACAGTGGCGGAATTCCATTGGCCAATCAAAAGACAAAAAACGGGAGTCGCCAGTGATTGCGGATCTAGCTGGTGAAAAAGAAAAGATCCGATAGCGGCCACGGGATTCCGAAAAAATCAACTTCAACGAAGCTGATTCGATGCGAGCAGGAGGAAATGATGGGGGAAAATCTCCACCCCACGACCAGTCTTCGCCAAAGAAAATAGCCGAGAAAAAATCCGACTCCGCGAAAAAGACTCTGCCGAGACGGGGAAACTCCTTGAAGACCCAAGAAATTATAAGGATTCGTTAAAGTTATCTTATAAAGATGCTTTAATGAAAACTTATGATTCTCGAGGGGCTAGAGCCTTGGAGAAAATTCGGGAGGGACTCAAGAAGAAGCAGAAAGCTGTGGAGATTATACCGGTACCGGACAACTTGGGGAAAAAATTAAGGTGTGTGGAAAGAAGCCGACCTTTCCACAGAGTCAACGTCGACTCCCGCCACCAGCCCACAGCGACTACCCGTTCCCCAGGGAAGACGTCGGTGGAGCTGAAGTTGGGGGTCTACAAGACACTGCAAAAACCCCGAACTCCTCCTCCGGATGCATCCATTTCAGCAACTTCGGCATCAACAACACGCACTGACGTCAAAGAAACTCCGGGCCCTAGAGAAGAGCCGTTCTCCAAGCAGCCTCTGCCAGCTACCAGCTCAGGAGTAGATAGTAACGAAAAGTTGCGTATGGAATATTGAGATGTACCCTATGATCCTACCAATGAAACTATCTTTGGGTACTCCGAGCAACGCCCGCCCCTCGTGCTTGAGGTCATCTGCAAAGGACGAAGCCTCCAAGCACTCGTGGATAGTGGAGCATCACATACCGTCTGCGACAAGGCAGTAATCGACAAACTTCAGGAAGAGTACAAGCTTTCAGTATTCTCTACAACGATGGTGGACGGCAGCAAGTTACTAGTACACGGTGAAGCAGTGTTACACATACAAATTGGACCACTGCGCTGGAGACCTGCACTCCCCATCACCAATATATAAGGGCTTGACCTGATCTTCGGGCGAGACTTCCTAAAAAAATTCAACCTCGAGATCAACTGGACAAAATGCACCGCAAGCATCTACAACAGTGGAAGGAGAGTCTAGCTACCCAACTGGGACGATACGGGAGATATCCCAGTGGAGACACTCGCACGATTCGAGAAGGACGTGAAGCAAACCGACACCGGGTTCCTGGCGATAGTAAGAGAGGTGGAAAACGATGGGGAGAAAACCTCGGAACCCCCACAAAAGATCAAGGAATTACTGAAGGAGTTCCAAGAAATTCTTCTTGACGATCTTCCGAACGAGCTACCGCCATACCGAACGCATCAACACGAGATCGTAGAGGAACCGGGTTCGAAGCCGACCTTCCGAGCACCATATCGGCTTAGCCCCACTGAGCTAGCCGATATGAAAAAACAGATCGAGTATCTCCTCGCCAAATGACTCATCCGACCATCCACTTCGCCATACGGTGCCCCAGTGGTCTTCACACCGAAACCGGACGGGAGCCTGCGCATGTGCATCGATTACCGAGCTCTCAACAAGCAGACCATCAAGAATAAATATTCGATACCACAAATCGATGACCTGCTTGACCAGCTTCAGGGAGCCACAGTATTTTCCAAACTGGATCTGCGGTCCGGATACTGGCAGATACGAATGGCGGACAATTCCATCCACAAAACTGCCTTCCCAACTCGGTACGGGTCGTACGAGTATTTGGTAATGCCGTTCGGACTCACCAACGCACCGGCAACGTTCCAAGCCGAAATGAACCATATTCTATGCCCAGTCTTGGACGAATGCGTGGTGGTGTACCTGGATGACATCCTCATCTACTCGCGCGACATGAAACAGCACGTCAAGCACCTGCAACGCGTCTTTGAAATTCTTCGACGAGAACGATTCTACGTCAAATTGTCCAAGAGCGAATTCGCCCTCGAGAAAGTCCGATTCCTATGACACATGGTGAGCGCCCAAGGAGTTCACGTCGACCCCAAGAAAATCGAAGCCGTACGTACGTGGAAGATACCTGAGAACGTGAAGGAGTTGTAGTAGTTCCTAGGCTTCGTTAACTACTACAACAGGTTCGTGCCACAGTACGCGAAAATCACGACACCACTCACGAATCTGCTGAAGAAGAACACGCCCTATAAATGGGAGCTGAAGCACCAGGAAGCCATGGAGCAGCTGAAACAAGCACTCACGTTTGCACCCGTACTCATCTTGCGAGATCCCGAACGTGACTACGTTATCGAAGCTGACGCCAGCGACCACGCAGTGGGAGTAGTCTTGATGCAAGACTAGGGGAATGGACTGCAACCAATCGCCTACCTCAGCAAGAAACTACACGAGGCAGATTGAACTACCCGATACACGACAAAGAGGCTCTTGCTATCATCATCGCCTTCAAAACGTGGAGATGTTATCTCGAAGGAGGAAAAACAACCGTCTACACAGACCACTGCAGCTTGAAATATTTGAAGACACAACCAAACCTCTCCAGGCGGCAGGTCCGGTGGATCGACTTCCTCGAGACACACTTCCACTATGACATC